TCTCTCGTCATTCTTGCTCAAGGAGATGCCTAGCAGGTGCGGCTCTTTCCGTGCACCATCCTGCCCCCTGGTGTACAGCCTTCAACTCGGAGCCTTGGCTCAGCGGCCGAGCATCTCTTTTGCATGCCGAAGGTCCCAAGTTTAATCCTCAGCATCTGCAGTGAGAAAGGACCTAGTAGGAGGTGATGTGGAAGACCTCTGCCTGAGGCCCTGGGGAGTCACTATTGATCAGACTCTGACTGACCTGGACTCCCTAAGGCAGCTTTGTGTTCCACGTGGAGAGGCTTTAATGGTGTGAAAATGCTGGGAAGTGTGGCTCCTAGCACAGCATCTGAAGGCACAGCTGTGGCCTCATTCCGTCCCCCCTTGTGATGGGCAAGAGGAGTTATTGGGGGGGGGGCTCTTGAAAGGGAAGTATGGTAAAGGCGAACAGTTCTGACCTCTTTGTCTTGCAGACTGTTTCCTTTTTGCCTGAACCCCAGTCCATCCCTGCAAGTCACGTTAAGTGGGGTGCCACTTGGAAGGAACACGTGCAAGGCTGAGAGGGTCTGTGGCATTCAGGAGCCCCCGGCTTCAGTCCCCGGCATCTCCAGGGTCTGGCAGTAGGTGACGTGACCCTGGAGAGCTGCTGCCAGTCTGAGCAGACACTATTGACGCTGATGGACCGAGGGTCTGATTCAGTATAAGGCTGCCTCGTGTGTTCCCCTGCTGGCTGGGAGAACATAACCGTGAGCGGGGGGGGGGAGGACTGGGCATGGAGGCGGAGACAGAGTCATTCAGCTGAGTCTCAGAACTGCCCAGTTGGCAGCATTGCTGCTGGTCCCTTGGGCAGAATCCTCTCCTCCGTTAACTGTTGAGTGCTTTTGCAACTTTGGGGGGGGGGGAGCTGTTGCTGACCACAGAGTGGAGATGTGAGACAAGGCGGGGACATGATTCCTTGGTTCCCATGCTGGGTCTGTGCCCTAGAGGTTTCGCCTCTGTTCTTTTCTTCCTTGAAGGGAGAAATTACAACAGATCACATAGCCTGCCTATGAGAGAGCATTTACTAAATTAGTAAATACAATTTACTAAATTGTTGGTTATGTTGGTTGCTGTCCAGTGTGAAACTGGAGATGTGCGCCTCCAACCAAAAACAGTCATTCCTTGCCAGTTGGTGGGAAACCCTGTGATGATTTGAGGGTGTGTTTTCCCTTCCAGGTACACGAATCATTTACGACCGTAATTTTTTGATGGAGTGTCGCAATTCTCCAGTTGCCAAAACACCACCCTGTGATCTTCCTGACATTCCAGGCGTTACTAGTCCGAGTGCAAAGGAACTCGGATCTGAGACCAATCATGCCCACAAAGAGGAGGAGAAACCTGGCATAGGTGAGTGGCTACCTGTGGCTGGTGCCAAAAAAGGGCCTTTATTGTGCAGTTCAGACAGGCTACATGATTCATGCATGACCTATCAGATCCTCTGCAGCTCACCAGCCATGCAAGATGGGATACCAGGAGCTCTGCAAACGTCCTGCTTGGGCTTGCAAAACCAAAGGATTACCAGTCCTCGTGTATGTCCACTGTATGGCTGATGGAGAGTACAAGTTCCATTGAAGCAGTTCCCAGAGTGTGTAATGAACACTGCACCATGCAAAATAAATTATATATACTGTCTTGTGTCTGCAGTCCTGCCTACCAGAGGATATTACCCAGTAAATCCCTGCCTGAGTTGCTGTTCTGATGTTGCCTCCTTCTAGTCAGGAGGCATGTGCAGATCAGTGACTCCTGCAGAAATGTACCGATAGATGGGTGCAACATACACCCTTTAAATGTAATCTTTTTCAGGAGTAAGACTGTTTACTTCAAAGTTGGACCCAAGGGGGAAAGTGTGCTACAGCTATTGAATGTTTTCCAGAAAAGTTAAATGTATGATGTATGCAGAGCTGCCCATTGTAGCCTGGTGGCTTTTGACTGATAAATCTTTGAGCTTTTATTAGTTGAAATAGATTGGAACAGCTTTAGTATTGCATCTTTGGGTTAGTAATTACAAATGGTTTGAGGTAGCCAGAACAGGCCCTTGGGACCCTTGGCCGTGGCTTGCAGTTGGGGAAGAGCTAAACTGGTGACCCATCCAGGAAAGTCCAAGCTGGTGATGTTTTGCTCCCTGTTTTTCTGACTGCCAGTAGTCATTGTTGGTGATGTAGATCTTATTGTTTACATCGGAGCTAGACAACCTTTTGGTTGGCGAGAGCTACTTTGGGGGTGGGTAACAGTCCCCAGAGTGACTTCCAGGGCGGTCACAATCCCCCTTCCCCGTGCATTCCCTCCCTCTGCACACTTCCCATCACCACCACCACTGCTGAGGTGTGTCGCAAGTCTAATGGCCGGGCTCTGTACGTGGTAGCTTCATGTCTTCCTGATGGGCCTGGGCTTAAGAGGCCCCTGTCACATGGGGGCCCCTGTCAGCTGTTCCGTGAAGGTGATGGAGACTAAAGAGTAGTTCCAAAGGGTTGGTTGTGTAAATTGCATAGTAAATAAATAAGCGCCAACACAACACTGTGTATAGTTTGAGATTAAAAGAAATCTATCTTTACTAGAAAACAATGGAGGGAGTTACAGTGGGAGAAAAGGAAGAAAATACTGTCTGAGCTAATCTTTACTAGAAAACAATGGAGGGAGTTACAGTGGGAGAAAAGGAAGAAAATACTGTCTGAGCTAACAGACTACATCTTAATGTCTACATGGTAAAACGTAGGATGGCTTCTTCTTCTCTCTCAGAAAAAAGACCGGGAAAACTTCAATAAACATGCAGACTATAATAAAACATATGAACAACTGCATACATGATCAAAGCACTTCTTTAAACCAATATATCAATTAGCCAATAGACAAACTACAGATCACATAATTATACTAATCACCACCACCCACATTTTCCCAGGCAAACTCATCTCTCCTAATTGGTTATAGCTAAACCAGGTAACATCCTGTTAACACACGACATCAGATTAACTCTATCATGACTGAAAGTGTTGTCAGCTTGCTAATATACCAACACAAAGGCTTTCCGGGAAATCATTTCTTAAGGATCTTTTACCCCACCTTTCTCCCATCCTCAGCAACTCTGGGCAGCTTATTTGTATGACGTGAAAGCATAGCATAAAAAAATCCCATCCACTGCAGAGTAAGGACAAAACTAAGTACAGTTCCCTCTCTGACCATAGACATCCATTCACCCAGTACCAGAAACCCTTTTGAATAAAACAGCCTTGCGGAGCCTTTCAGTTGGCAGGAGCTTGAGAGTGCAAGCCCATTCACCTACTTCACCGGCACTGTCAAAAGCTGTCATGTTTCCTCTTTGCTCATAACCTGACTGCCATGAAGGCTGCCAACCTGTTTGACTTCAGAGAGAAGGGATAAGCAGGCTGTTAACAGGCAAGCTGAGTAACAGTTCCATGTTTGCTTTCGAAGACTTTGGGCGGTAATAATGTTTGCAGGAGGCCCATCTAGTGAATATGTGTGAAGTTTGGACCTGATCAATACTCGTTTTCTTCTCCCAACAGGTGACGAAGCCCAGTTTGACATGGATATCTAAAGCTTCTGTCCTAAGAATATTGGGGGGGGGATCCCACTCCAGTGGAGACGCAGAATCAGCCGTGCTTCCAAAACAAGTGAGACTTGTAGAATAGTCCACGCCTTGCAAAGCCTTCTGAGCTGGAAAATTCACTCAATTTTTATTTTTTGACGCGGAAGAGGGGAAGACGATTTCCTGTTGCGTAAGGAGTGAAAACGGTGGCAGGTTTCTCTGCATGGGATAGCAGTGCTGCCAGCGATGACCATCAGCATAAGAGAGTGGAATGCTTTAACTTCTGTGTCTTGAATCCCTGTGCCTTTTGTTTGTTCATCAGTCTCCGTTGCTCTGAAGGCAAGGGACTGAATGTAAGGAGAGAAATAAAATCATGCTGGATGCAGATGATTACTTAAAATTGTGGGACTCTTCTTGTTCAGACTTCATATGCAAAGCACTCTACAGTCTTTATCTCAAACCGCGCAAGAGATGGGGAAGGGGTGTGTTGAATGCAGACTATAAACCAATGTCTATACCAAGGAGCTGCGGTGGCTCAAGCGGTGAAGACACTGAACTGCAGGCTGTGAAAGGTCAGTAGTTCAGCAGTTCAAGACCCGAGTGTGCCGCATGATGGAGTGAGCTCCCGTCTCTAGTTCCAGCTCCTGCCAACCTAGCAGTTCGAAAGCAAGAAATTGCTAGTAGATAAATAGGTACCACTTCGGCGGGAAGGTAACAGCGTTCCGTGCGCCTTGGTGTTTAGTCATGCCGGCCACATGACCAGGGAAACGTCTTCGGACAGCGCTGGCTCTTCGGCTTTGAAACGGAGATGAGCACCGCAACCCTAGAGTCGGACTCGACTGGCTTTTGGGCAAGGGAACCTTTACCTTTACCTATAAACCAATACAGTGGCATATCTCTTGTGCATATCTGTGGCACTAGTGCTCATCTAACATTGGTAGCTTTGATAAATCTATAAAATAGTAACTGGGAGGGACTGTGGTTGAGAGTAGAAGAAACGTTTCTCCATGCTCACTATAGCTGTATATTCTACCTTCCTTCCTCTAGTATAAGGCAGTGGATGGATAAGGCTGATCAGATCAGAACAGTCTGGTCACTTTCACTTGAATGTGTTGGGGAAAGAATGGAGCAGGTTGATCCAAGAAAAATGGATTTTAAGAAAGGTTAAAAAAATTTCTTCAGTGGAGAGGGTATTGCATTGGAGAAGCTGGTAGTCTTATAACATTTTCCTTTTCTTTAAAAAAAGGTGGGGGTTACGTAAAAACTTGGATTTATTTATTTATTGGATTTATATCCTGCCCTCCCCGTGAATGGGCTCAGGGCGGCTCACAATTGACGGCACCATATGCCAAAATTGGCATAAACGATTTAAAAACAAGATAAAACAGTAGTACCTTAAATTCAATTAAATACAAGTAGGGATGCACGCATTCTTCACTGTATCAAAAATTATTTTTAAAAACTGCTCTGAGTTCTAGAGTCCTGTGTTTTGTCTTTTTCATGAAATCACATGAATGTATTTATTTATATATTTATATTTCATTTATACCCCGCCCTCCACGCACGCGAGCTCAGGGCGGCTTACAAAACACAGAAGCGTAATACAATACCACAAATTTTCAAACAGTTAAGGCACACAGTGCAATAAAATACAAGTTAAAACAATTTAACACAAGTGGACAGCTCACAGGATCCATCGCGATTAACATGCTCGCTCCCTATTTGCACATCACATTGGGACCCACAAGGGGGATGCCATGGGCCACGATGTCCAGGTGGCCAGTCAGCTCAACCCGGCGATACTGTTCTGCACTTGCACGTTGGTGATAATGGCGGCGGCGGCTCCTACACGAAAGCCTGGCGGAAGAGCTCCGTCTTGCAGGCCCTGCGGAACTGTAAAAGATCCTGCAGGACCCTGACCTCCAGGAGCTCATTCCACCAGGTAGGAGCCACCACCGAAAAGGACCTGGCCCTTGTGGCAACAAGTCTGGCCTCCTTAGGGCCCGGGGTCACTAGGCGGTGTTGTGACCCCGACCGAAGTGCTCTTTGGGGCCTGTATGGGGAAAGGCGGTCCCTCAGGTATGCCGGGACAGAATTAATGAATAGATGGTCAGACATGATCCTACTAGGCATAAGGCAACTACCTGAGTTCACACCTGAGCCATGTGTCTAACATAAACCAAGATTTAGTGCTAGATTCCACATCTGTCCTTTGCTTGTTTGATGGGACTTCCATCAATGTGTATATGGAAGTGTGAATTTTAGGGAATTTCTATCCCACTTTTCTACTAAAATAGCACTTGAGGCAGTTTACAAACATGGATGAAAACCTACAGTACAGCATCTTAAAACAGCAACTAGAAGCAGCACGGCCATGACTGGTCATAAAATCATCAGTAAAACTAAAAATAACCCTGTAACAGAAACCCCCCAACAGTAAAATCAGCATTAAAACCAGCTGTGAACAGTCCCAAAAGAGAGAACCATCTTGCCAAGGAATTCACCAAATTCCCTCTAAAATAGATACTTGTAAAGAGCAAGACAGTAATGCCCAAGTTGAAAATGAGAGGTCTCTCAGCATGAATCTGGAAAGTAGAGAATCATGAACCTGTATAACATAGGAACGTCTGAGCATCTCGCATTTTAGACATAAAACAAGACTTGGGGTGAGGACTTGTTACGTCTTCTAGATCAACTTTAAGGGTAAGGTCTCTTTTTTTAAAAAAAAAATGCTATTCCGTTTGTGAGCTCTTTCCTAGTTAAACACTTTCTGTTGCTTAATACCTGCAGATTTTTATACCTTCAGGTGCTAGAATCTTAGAAAGCTGGCACTAAAGTTCCCCGTGCCAAAAAAATATTGCTTTGCTCTCAGAATTACTTTTCTGGGCTGCTGTTTTAATGGTCAAGAGAAGGAGACACACATGGATGCAAAGCTCTTTCCAGTCCAAGGATTTCTTCTGAGGGTTATGCCAGAAGTCACCTGGACTCAGTTGCTACTTGCCCTGCAAAAGTAAATGTATTCATGCACCTCTGAAAACAACAGTGCTAAATGCCCAATGGGGAAGCTCCAACAATTTGGTCACCCACAGTTTTCCAGACATATGTTCCCCCATTAGGGGTGTTTTTCATTGTGTTTCAAGTACGATAACAGCCCTGCTTTCACAGGTCTTTCATATTCTTTCCACCTGATTATTATTCTTGGCTAAGGATGTTTTCTGGGTTTTGTTCCCATGCCTGCTTTTTAGCTTTGCTTTTATACCATGAAGTCTGGTCAGTAGCCTTGGGCACTAATCATGAGAAAGGACAATGCAAAACTTTAATATAAATAAAAATTGAAAACTAGGGTCCCACAAGGAATTTTGGAGAGGAAGCCTAAACTATTGGAATTCTTCCCTTCTGAGATCCTATACACTCTTAGGGATATGAGCAGGCTGATTTTCCCACCCCCTTTTCCCCTTCCCTTTCAACATTCCAAAGTCAATGAGCATGCTCAGTCTTCTATCAGACCTGCTGGATGGGGGCATTTTACATATTCATATTTTCTGCATGCCTAAGGAATTCCTGATACATTCAAAAGGACGACTTTGCCTGCAAATGGGCCCCTTTTGTTGCTTTGTGACAGGCATTTGTCTATGAGCTCTGCTATTAAAGAGTTCAAGCTGGGAGGGGCATGAAAGGGGTGTGTGTGAGAGAAACAGTTTAGAAAATTTCCCTTTCCCAGACACCTTAATCTCCCCCTCCAGAATTCTGTATGTTCTCAGGAGCTTGAGCAGGCCAATCTTCCATTTCCTTTTTGGTTTGGTTGTCCTTTCACTGACTCGCACCTGTTAGCATTCCATCAGGGTGCTTTTAGGAAGCCTTCATTTCTTTTGGATAATTTGCAAATCCTGCATACCTGGGGAGCCTGCCCCCCCCCCCCCATCAAGTATGCATAAACCTTGTCAGTGGATAAACCGGTTATGCTCTGCATCTGATAGGCACTCCACCCTCAAGTTAGATGCCTGACATATGAATTCACATTTTGGACCCACTCCAGTGTTCCCTCTAAGCTGAGTTAGTGTGAGCCAGCTCACAGTTTTTTAGCCTCCGGCTCATGCATTTCTGTCTTAGCTCAGGAAGGATGGCTCCAGAGCAGACTCATTTATGCAGTAGCCAAATCTCTTGCTCACAACTTTAATGCCAGTAGCTCACAAAGTAGAAGTTTTGCTCACAAGACTCCAGAGCTTAGAGGGAGCATTGAACCACTCCCTAATTTTCTGGCTTGTCAGACCAAAATGCCAGTGAATCAGTGGAGTGTTCTTAACCTGTGACTGTTATTAATGCTGTATGCTTCCTGCCAACCGAACTGCTTGTGTTTTATCTAACCTTTCAAAAAATCTCTAGTGAAGTTTGCAGCAGCCGTCAACAAGGCGTTATCGTACACCAAGCAAAATATTTCTGAATTGAATGGAGTGCTGTGGTGACCATGCAGAGATGAAAGACAGAAATCTGAATCTGCCTTTTAACCTAGGGGCTTTGCCAGAACAAAGTACTGATTTCCTGCTTGCCAAACTAGACCACTAGATTATCAGAAACCGAGGTTAAAGTAATTAAGCCTGCTAGAATCTATTTCAATGATCTAAACAGTCCCCAAAATGGACGCCTTCCGACAAACCAGCCCCTTTGCACTTATTTTCAGTCTACTACTGGTCAGTAATTGGCATACAGAGCAACTGAAGGGCTAGCTTTGCAAAGAGCTTCAAGATGTGCTTCCTTGCTTTGTGTATTCTTTGTAAAACAGGCCAGCTGCCCTGAAGGTTCAGGTGACAGTTTCCAGCATTTTAACACTTAAATGTCTGTCAGACAGAGGACAAGGTGAGCAGTTAACAAACAGTTGAGGATTTAGCAGCCTGTTCCACCTTGAATTGCCCATCTACAGCTTTTCTTTCTTCTGGATCCATGATGCGATACATACTGATGTGTAGGCTTCTGTTTTAAGCAAATAAACTGCAACATCAAAGGTTTATTTCTTTATTTAAATGTTGACACCCAAGCTTTCTTTTGTGGTCCAAAGTGTCTTACAGTTTCAACTCGTATTGTATTTTTGTTTAATTTTTTAACTGCCTTTCCCATTTAAAAAATGCTTGCCGCTTTACACTTCATTCAGTCTTTTGAGTATCTCAGATTTCAGCCAACTAGCCTTCTATTTGCAGATTGATGTCTACTATTACTTCTTCTTCTCAAGACATCTGGGGGGGGGCTCACACCACAGCCATTTGGTGTTGCCTGCGACTCTGAGGAAATCTTGGATACAGCTTGTCTCTATTTCCTCAGATTCAATGGCCTGGATTCGGTAAATGGACTTGCACAAACAGGAAGAGAAGGCAATTTTTGCTCATT